ACTAGGTCATTCCCCAATCGCTGGTAGACCCTAATGCGCTTATTCATCCTTCCGGATGGAATCGACTTGGGCTAGTCGACATGGTAGAAGTCGACTAAGAAGAGAATCCGGACCCTTGACAGAATATATTATCACGAGGAGATATGCGGGTGGAGTCGACTTCGGGTAAGTCGACTCGGCAATGTTCGAACCGGGACAACATAGGCCGCTATACGATAGTATGGCTATATTATCTAGTCCCCCCCGAGAATTACTCGAAGCGACTCTGAGCTTACGAGTAGATTTGTCGGTTGAATCCTCGCAGGATTCCCTCTTAGCCGTTCTCCTTATTCCCGACTATCTATGCCCAAATCTCGACTCGCGAGAGGCTCTTCTTAAGGAAATTATCATATTGTTCGGATAAACTCGGATTTCTTTTCGAATTTCAAAATTTAAATTGGCTTGGAATCTGGCAAGACGTTTCTCTCTCCACCGCTTCGTATTCTGTGCATCATTTCATCCGTCAGATCTGCCTTTAATCTAAGGGCTGGGGTTCCTTTACTTTCCCTTTAAGTACCCCTTTCCTTTTCTCATCTTCACTTTTCGCACTTAGACTCTTTGAATTCTCTCTTTCTTCGGCAAATACAATATTTTAAGCTTTCCGGCGCTCTTCTCATTTTCCGACGTTCTTCTCAGATTTTCTAGGACTTCTTCATCAATCATCATGAGTATGAGTAAGTTTTCTTTGCTTTTCGATTTATTGCTGTGTTTCAAAATAAGAATTCTGTTTTTCTGGGTAATATGCTTGGGGCTTCGCCTAATCGTCGGTTTTTCTGGGGGTTTTTGGATGAGTTTTTAGCGGTTTTCCCTTGTTAGATCTTTAGTCGCAGATCTTCCATTCCTCTTGAGTGTTTTCATCCAATAGCTGATTTGAAATGAAAAACTAATTCTGCCTCTTTGGTTACCCTTGATCTGTCATCCTTGTGCCGAGTCGAGTGAAGCAAAAATGCCCTACGCACTCTTCTCGGTCTTTCCTTTCTCTTATTTCGACTCAATTTACACGTTTTTCTCAATCTTTCGTCGACTTAATCTTAGAGTCGAACCGTAGTTATGATTACCTTCGTCCTTTGATTATCATTTTCTCTGTTTTTCCTTATTAGATCCCGACTCTCCCCCTGTTTCTGATCCTGTTTCCGGCTCCCTCGCCCTTGAAACCGACGGATATTCAGGCTCTGCCTCCGTTGAGATACTCGATGTCAAAACTAGTGCTATTCGAAATGTCGAAACCGAAGGCTTCGTTACTTCTAACGCCTCGCCCTTTGGCATCGACTGGGACGTGTATAACCAGGCATTATTGTCGGGCACTCTTTGTGCGGACCCCGAGACCCTCCGGCTTAACTTAATCCCTCGAGGTATCCTTAGGTTTTGAGTCATCTCGTACGTATCAGTCCCCCTTTTTTTTCACAAGTAATGGCTCTCTAAGTCGAGTCCTCAACTGTAATATGTCCTCTGACGAAGTTAGCTGTTCTTAACCTCCTTTCTTGTGCTCCTGCAGCCGAAATCGATGGCTTCAGGGAGTTCAGCGGGCTCCCCTCCGACTGGGAAATGGTCGCTCCTGGTCCCGAAGACGACTTCCGACATCCTCCCCTCGGTTGCTTTACCTTTTTTGTAGATCAGATAATGTCGGGACTGCGCTTCCCGATCCAACCTGAGCTGCTGTCGCTGAGTAATCTTTACGATATACCAATAAACGAATTTACCCCCAACCCCATACAAATAATGGTGGCCTTTATAGTCGTCACCCGTATAGTGCTAGGTAGTTTTGTACCCAATTTTTTCCTTTATTGTTACGAGTATAGGTTTAGTAAAGACGCCCATTGTCTAGGTCGTCGAGTAGGTGTTACTTTTCTTGATGACCTTTCTTCCAATATCACCGAATGGAAGAAGAAGTACTTCTTCCTTCGACCTTCTCCTGGTCAATATCCTTTCTCAAATAAGTGAATTACCAGCAAAACTAAACAACGCAAGCGCCCCGACTCTCCGCAATTTGCGGCTATGTTGGAAGAATTGAATAAACATGTGTGGAGCGCTCGTCAATTGACTAAAGATAGTTCTTTACTTAACCATGTCGGTATCTGTGTCGACAAGAGTGTTTCCCGACTTAATGACCCTTGTAAGTCTCTCAGTTTGTCAGTTTTTGCCCTGATTTACTATCGATCGTTTGGCTTTGTGTGTTTATGTTTGTTTGCTTGTATGCATGTATGGCTCATGTCTGTCTGTATTAAAAAAATCTCTTTTTTTTATAACGTCAGTAAAAGCTTTGGCCCGTTTTGAAAAGAAGAAGGCCGAGGTGGCCAGCAAACCAGCCACTCGCCTTATCCCTCAAGGGTCTGAGGGAGGTTCTGGTTCTGTCACTCCTACTGCGGCAGTCGAGACGACTGCCGCTAAGAGGTCTAAAGTGGTGCTCCCTTCGGCTTCCAAGTTGAGTCAAGCGACGGGCTCTCACTCTCACAAGAGGCCCCGGGATCGAGAGGACACAGCTTTGGTGTCCGATACCTCGAAGCGTTCGAAAGGGAACGAGCCGATGGTCGAAAAAGACGCGGGGTAGTCGTCCCTTGTTAGGGTGCAGCCTGTCACCCTACAACAGCCTTCCCATCTTTACGACAACCCCGATTCCCTTCAAATTCTCAACTACCTCCAGTCGACTCTTCTTGAAAACGACCAGGTCCTGACCGATAGCAACCCCTACCATCGGGCCCGCTATGCAGCTCGGCTCATTCCTCGAGTAAGTTCAACCTTTTGTTTGTTTGTTTGTTATCTTCTTTTCTTAGTGTTATGTTGGCTTCTCATCATTTCCTTTACTTGTTCTTTTTAGCTTCTCGCCTGCATTCTTCCCACTATGATCGAAGAGGCATCTCCCCTCAGAACAACGTCATGGTTCTGGGGGAGAAATATGCGACTAAGTGCCAGGAGCTTGAGGCCAAAGAGGAGGAGCTCGAGGCTGCGAACGCCATCATAGCCAAGCTCCGTTCCGACAAGGAGGCGGCTTTCCGAAAGGCTGAGCTGATGAGAGTCGACCTGGCCAAGGCCGGTGACGAGGCCTTGGTCGAGAAAATGGGATTCAGGAAGATCGTCGGACTTTCTTGAAGTCTCCGACCGGCCCTGCTTTCCTGGCCCATTACCATAAGGTCGTGGTCGAGGCCTTCTGCAGATCGTTCGACTACCTGGACGAGTTGGTTCCCACGGCGCTCGAGTATTTCTACTTCGCCTGCGACAAATGGGAACAAGCTGTGGTCCAACCCGACTTTCCCGGGAAGATCGACCGGGAGGCAGTATAAATGACCCTCCCCGACCCTGCAGGCTTCAGTGAGCTCCCTCCTGGTCGTGAGTGGTGGGCTGGCCTCAAGGCCAAGGCTATTCGTGCGGCTGAGCTCTCTTCTCAGCTTGAAGTCCCCCCATCCCCTCTAGTCGGCCCGACTGAATTGGTCCAGCCCAGCGGGGCTGATTATGAGGAGCCGGTTGATGAAGAGATAGAGGTCGAGAGGCCAGATGGGCAGCAAAGGACAGAGTCAACTGCCGATGAGGGTGCTGGGACGGAGCCCGTGGATGGTGGGGAAGGGGATGGTGCCGAGAGGCCGACTTCTGACACTCAGGCTTGATAGTTTACATGGTTTTGCCCTTAGTTATTTTGCTTTCCCTTTTTTTTTCCTTTTCTTTTTTCTTTTGCCTTCTCAACCTATTTTCTGATGTAAAGGTTGAGGAGGTTTCGGATGTAAAAACTTTTCTATTTCAATATAATGTTATTTTATTCAACTCGCCATTTGCCTGTGCTCTATCGTTTCTTGCGGTTAAGCGATAATGATTAGTTTTTTACTGTGTTTTTCGATGTTTGCGCTTGTTATATCATGTGGGATTTTCCTAAGTACTGTAACTCATCCTCTCCTCCCAACCCTTCTTGCGAGCTGGTCGAAGTTGAGCAACTGATTCAACAGCTTCATAGCTGTTTGAGCAAGCTTTTCCGAGTTGTCTTCTCCCAACCCTTATTGCGAGCTGATCGAAGTCGACCAATAATTTTTAACAGCTTCTTAGCTGTTGAATTTCAAGTTTTTCGAGTCGACTTCTCCCAACCCTTCTTGCGAGCTGGTCGAAGTCGAGCAATAATTTTCAACAGCTTCTTAGCTGCTAAACTTCAAGTTTTTCGAGTCGACTTCTCCCAACCCTTACTGTGAGCTGATCAAAGTCGAGCAACAATTTTCAACAGCTTCTTAGCTGCTGAACTTCAAGTTTTTTGAGTCGACTTCTCCCAACCCTTCTTGCGAGCAGATCGAAGTCGAGCAATAATTTTCAACAGCTTCTTAGCTGTTGGGCTAATTTTTTCGAGTCGACTTCTCCCAACCCTTCTTGCGAGCTGGTCTAAGTCGAGCAATAATTTTCAACAGCTTCTTAGCTGTTGGGCTAATTTTTTTGAGTCGACTTCTCCCAACCCTTCTTGCGAGCTGGTCGAAGTCGAGCAATAATTTTCAACAGCTTCGTAACTGTTGAACTTTAAGTTTTTTTGGTTTTTTTTTTGTCGGGTTGAGCCGACTATATAGCCGTTTTGAAAAATTCGATATATTCTGGTAATCGCGCTTCAGTCGATGTGAAGAGGGGTCGATCGTCACTTCTTCCCGTCTTTGGGATATCTGATTCTCTCTGGCTGCTTGTCACGCCTTGCTATTTGGGTCGAATCCTCTCCATTAATGACTATTTTTTTCAAGATGAATCTGACACTGACGCTCTTTTGTTTTTCTCGAAATTTCCGATCCAACCTGAGCTGCTGTCGCTGAGTAATCTTTACGATATACCAATAAACCAATTTACCCCCAACTCCATACGAATAATGGTGGCCTTTATAGTCGTCACCCGTATAGTGCTAGGTAGTTTTGTACCTGATTTTTTCCTTTGTTGTTACGGGTATAGGTTTAGTAAAGATGCCCATTGTCTGCGTCGTCGAGTAGGCGTTACTTTTCTTGATGACCTTTCTTCTAATATCACCGAATGGAAGAAGAAATACTTCTTCCTTCGACCCGCTCCTGGTCAATATCCTTTCTCAAATGAGTGGATTACCGGCAAAACTAAACAACGCAAGCGCCCCGACTCTCCGCAGTTTGCGGCTATGTTGGAAGAATTGAATAAACATGTGTGGAGCGCTCGTCAGTTGACTAAAGATAGTTCGTTACTTAACCATGTCAGCATCTGTGTCGACAAGAGTGTTTCCCGGCTTAATGACCCTTGTAAGTCTCTCAGTTTGTCAGTTTTTTCCCTGATTTATTATCGATCGTTTGGCTTCGTGTGTTTATGTTCGTTTGCTTGTATGCATGTATGGCTCATGTCTGTCTATATTAAAAAAAAATCTCTTTTTTTTGTAACGTCACTAAAAGCTTTGGCCCGTTTTTAAAAGAAGAAGGTCGAGGCGGCCAGCAAACCAACCACTCGCCTTATCCCTCAAGGGTCTGAGGGAGGTTCTGGTTCTGTCACTTCTACTGCGGCAGTCGTTTAGGTCTCAAGTGGTGCTCCCTTCGCCTTCCAAGCCGAGTCAAGCGACGGGCTCTCACTCTCACAAGCGGCCCCGAGATCAAGAGGACACAGCTTTGGTGTCCGATACCTCGATGCGTTCGAAAGGAAAAGAGCCGATGGTCGAAAAAGACACGGGGCAGTCGTCCCCTGTTAGGGTGCAGCCTGTCACCCTACAACAGCCTTCCCGTCTTTATGACAACCCCGATTCCCTTCAAATTCTCAACTACCTCCTGTCGACTCTTCCTGAAGACGACCAGGTCCGAACCGACAACAACCCCTACCATCGGGCCCGCTATGCAGCTCGGCTCATTCCTCGAGTAAGTTCAACCTTTTGTTTGTTTGTTTGTTATCTTCTTTTGTTAGTGTTATGTCGGCTTCTCATCATTTCCACTCGATCTTTTTAGCTTCTCGTCTGCATTCTTCCCGCTATGATCGAAGAGGCGTCTTCTCCTCAGAACAACGTCAAGGTTCTGGGGGAGAAATATGCGACTAAGTGCCAGGAGCTTGAGGCCAAAGAGGAGGAGCTCGAGGCTGCGAACACCATCATAGCCAAGCTCTGTTCCGACAAGGAGGCGGCTGTCCGAAAGGCTGAGCTGCTGAGAGTCGACCTGGCCAAGGCCGGTGACGAGGTCATCGGACTTTCTTGAAGTCTCCGACCGGTGCTGCTTTCCTGGCCCATTACCGTAAGGCCGTGGTCTAGGCCTTCTGCAGATCGTCCGACTTCCTGGACGAGTTGGTTCCCACGACGCTCGAGTATTTCGACTTCGCCTGCGACAAATGGGAACAAACTGTGGTCCAACCCAACTTTCCCGGGAAGATCGACCGGGAGGCAGTAAAAATGACCCTCCCCGACCCTGCAGGCTTCAGTGAGCTCCCTCCTGGTCGTGAGTGGTGGGCTGGCCTCGAGGCCAAGGCTATTCGTGCGGCTGAGCTCTCTTCTCAGCTTGAAGTACCCCCATCTCCTCTAGTCGGCCCGACTGAATTGGTCCAGCCCAGTGGGGCTGATTATGAGGAGCCGGTTGATGAAGAGATAGAGGTCGAGAGGCCAGATGGGCAACAGGGGACAAAGTCAGCTGCCGATGGGGGTGCTGGGACGGAGCCCGTGGATGGTGGGGACGGGGATGATGCCGAGAGGTCGACTGCTGACACTCAGGCTTGATAGTTTACATGGTTTTGCCCTTAGTTATTTTGCTTTCCCTTCTTATTTCCTTTTCTTTTTTCTTTTGCCTTCTAAACCTATTTTCTGATGTAAAGGTTGAGGAGGTTTCGGATGTAAAAACTTTTCTATTTCAATATAATGCTATCTTATTCAACTCGTCATTTGCCTGTGCTCTATCGATTCTTGCGGTTAAGCGATAATGATTAGTTTTTTACTGTGTTTTTCGATGTTTGCGCTTGTTATATCATGTGGGATTTTCCTAAGTACTGTAACTCACCATCTCCTCCCAACCCTTCTTGCGAGCTGGTCGAAGTTGAGCAACTGATTCAACAGCTTCATAGCTGTTTGAGCAAGCTTTTCTGAGTTATCTTCTCCCAACCCTTATTGCGAGCTGGTCGAAGTCGATCAATAATTTTTAATAGCTTCTTAGCTGTTGAACTTCAAGTTTTTCAAGTCGACTTCTCCCAACCCTTCTTGCGAGCTGGTCGACGTCGAGCAATAATTTTCAACAGCTTCTTAGCTGCTGAACTTCAAGTTTTTCGAGTCGACTTCTCCCAACCCTTAGTGCGAGCTGATCGAAGTCGAGCAACAATTTTCAACAGCTTCTTAGCTGCTGAACTTCAAGTTTTTCGAGTCGACTTCTCCCAACCCTTCTTGCGAGCTGATCGAAGTCGAGCAATAATTTTCAACAGCTTCCTAGCTGTTGGGCTAATTTTTTCGAGTCGACTTCTCCCAACCCTTCTTGCGAGCTGGTCGAAGTCGAGCAATAATTTTCAACAGCTTCTTAGCTGCTGAACTTCAAGTTTTTCGAGTCGACTTCTCCCAACCCTTACTGCGAGCTGATCGAAGTCGAGCAACAATTTTCAACAGCTTCTTAGCTGCTGAACTTCAAGTTTTTCGAGTCGACTTCTCCTAACCCTTCTTGCGAGCTGATCGAAGTCGAGCAATAATTTTCAACAGCTTCCTAGTTGTTGGGCTAATTTTTTCGAGTCGACTTCTCCCAACCCTTCTTGCGAGCTGGTCGAAGTCGAGCAATAATTTTCAACAGCTTCTTAGCTGTTGGGCTAATTTTTTCAAGTCGACTTCTCCCAACCCTTCTTGCGAGCTGGTCGAAGTCGAGCAATAATTTTCAACAGCTTCGTAACTGTTGAACTTCAAGTTTTTTTTTGTTTTTTTGTCGGGTTGAGCCGGCTATATAGCCGTTTTGAAAATTTTGATATATTCTGGTAATCGCGCTTCAGTCGATATGAAGAGGGGTCGATCGTCATTTCTTCCCATCTTTGGGATATCTGATTCTCTCTGGCTGCTTGTCACGCCTTGCTATTTGGGTCGAATCCTCTCCATTAATGACTATTTTTTCAAGATGAATCTGACACTGACGCTCTTTTGTTTTTCTCGAAATTTCGAATTTCAAATCCTATGAGTGACGCGCGTCCCGTCAACCGCTGACTCTTCGTATTCTATGCCTCATCACGATCGTTGGTTTCCTTATCAATCTAATGGCTAACATCTATCTTATTTTCTATAAATATGATTGATTTTCTTCTTTAAACACTTTTTACTTCTACCCAATTTCCTCTGCAACTCCGGCGATCTAGGGATCCGAGCTTTTTCCTCCGGCGATTTTTCCACAGTTCCAGCATCTTAATCACCTTTCAGACCGTCATGAGTAATATGGGTAAGTGTTTTACTCTTTCTACCACTGTATTCTTTCTTTTTTCTATTTTCTGGGTTTTTCGGGTTTTTCTAAGCCCCTGTGTTCTTCGTGTTCTTCAACCTTTTCTTGGAGATTTTATGTTGGATCTTGTGTGCACCCTCTTCATTTTGGTTAACTGCTAGCGTGTGGCTGGGTTACAGCGTGTAACCACTTGTCGGCTTTTATTATGTCGATCCTTATCGACACCCGTTTTCTTTCTTTTTGTACTTTCCTCGAGTTGGCTTCATGTCGACTTACCTTCATGTTTCCATCGAATCATACCATATTACTTTCTTCCACATTCGTATTTTCGTCGACTTAGGTGAGTCGACTGTGCTTTTCTTGATTTTGTTTCGTCATGCCTGATCTTTGCTTTTGTTTCTTTTTCTTCTAGCTTCCAATTCTGGCTCTTCGCCTGACACACTCGACAAATTGATCGACAGGGGCCTTGACCAATCTGACTCAAGCTCAATCGAGATAATTGGTTATAGGATGGTTAACGCTTCTCCTTCTTCATCGCGCACTTCGACCCCGAAGGTCGACTGGGCTTGATTCCTCAAGGTATTCCCCTTAGGTTATTAGATATCCCTGTATATAGTACCAGTCATGTACCTGTATCAGTAGTTACTCCCCTCGATCCTCGAAAGATTGTATCAGTAGCCTGCCCTTTGGCCAGATTGGCCGCTTTAAACCCCTTTCCTTATGCCTCTGTGGATCAGGTAGAGAGCTTTAGGCAATTTAGCGGGCTTCTCTCCAATTGGGAGTTGGTTGCCCCGGGCCCTGACAGCGACTTCGTCTGTCCCCCACAGGGCTGCTATCCTTTTTTTGTTGACCAAGTTATTTTCGGTCTCCGCTTTCCAATCCAAGTCGAACTTTTGGAAATAAGTGACTTGTATAGTATCCCAATAAATCAGTTTTCTCCAAACGCGCTCTGTATCATGATAGCCTTTATTGTTATTTCTCGTGTAGTCCTCCATTTTTTCTCAGCCGATTTTTTTCATTACTGCTATGGTTATCGGCTCCAAAAGGGGGCTCACTGTTTAATTCGCCGCTCCGGGGTCACATTTCTCGATGACCTTTCCTTAAACATTACGGAATGGAAGTCAAAATTTGTGTTTATTCGCTCTCCCGTCGGTGCTTATCCTTATGCAAATAATTGGATAAGCACTAAAGTTAAACAAAATAAATTGTCTCGATTCGAGAACTTTGAAAAGCTTTTAGAGGAGTTGAATAAGTGTACTTATAGTGCTCGACGCATAATAAAAGATAGTGAGTTAGTCAATCACGCTCGAATCGTTCTGTATGACGATATTTCTCGGCTCGATGATCCCCGTAAGCTATCTGACATTTCTCGTACTGTCGAGTTTGATTTCTATTTTCTTTCAGTCTTGTTTGATTATTTGTTTTTGTTTCAGTCCAAGCACTCAAGCGATTTGAAATAGAAAAAAGACAGCCGACTAAGCCGTTGGTAGGCGGGTCTGCTCCTCCCCCTCCCCCCGGCAGATCCGGCTCAAAGCAGATTTCTGCCGCCAAGCGGTCTAAAGCCTTGGGGCCTAATAGCCGCAAGAGGCCTCAAGACACTAGAACCTTTTCCCTTCTTCCCGACGACCTTAAACGTCGTAAGGTCGACAAGGGCAAAGAGAAGGTCGTTGAAAAGAACGCTGCTTCTGCCGTCACCTACAAGGACGTGCTGGTCAAGATTCCGCCTCGGCTCTGGAATCGTCTAGAGCCGCATAAGGTGGAAAATCACCTCCACTCTCTGCTCCCCGAGGCCGACAAGGCTCGCGTCGAGGGGAATGACTACGAGCATTCTTGTTACGCCACTCAGTGCCTTACTCGGGTATGTGTTTTGTACTTAGTTAAGCGTTCATGTTTGTGTATTCTTTCATTTCTTCATTATTCATTTCTTTGTGTAGTTCTTAGCGGCCGTTCTCCCTGGCCTCGAGGCGGGTACCAAAGCTCCCACTTCCTCTACTAAGGCCCTCGAGGGGAAATGCGAGGCGTAGCTTAGGGAAATTGCCCAACTGAAGAAAGAGCTGGAGGGATCTAGGGCGTTGGTCGACAAGCTGAGGGCCGACAAGGCCGTGGCCCAGCATGACAATGAGAAGCTTCGAGCCGATCTTGAAAAGGCCCGAGAGGAGGTGGTATTCGAGAAGGATGTCGGAATCGTTCAGGGCCGAAGGTCATTTTTAAGGACCGGCATGGGTTCTGCCTTCATCGAGGCCTACCGTAGAGAAGTCGTCAAAGCTTTTTGCAACTCGCCCGAGTTTCTCGACCGACTTTGCCCTGCCGCCGTCCAATATTTTGACCATGCTTTCGATGCGTGAGAGGCGGTGGTGGCGGGGTCGGAGTTTGCTGGGAAACTCGACCGCGAGGTGATGAAGCGTGCGCTTCCTGATCCTGACAGTTACGAGGGTGATCCATCCCTTCCGGACGACTACCCATGGTGGTCTGGCCTCGAGGCTAGGACTATTCAAGTTGCCAGGCTCTCTTATCAGCTGGATGCTCCTTCGACTCCCTCAGCCGAGCCGACTGGACAAAATCTCGAGGAAGTAGTTTAGGAGAGCGATCTTTAGGGCTACGCTGAGGCTGTTGCCTTTTTATTATATATTTTCTTTTATTTTTCTTTTGTCGCTCTCGACCTATTTTCATAATGTAAAGGTCGAGACGATTTTCTTGTAATGACTTTGTTATAAATAACACCATTTTCTCCATGTCTTCGTTGTTTTTCTTTTGCTTGAATTGTCATGTACTCGCAACTTTGTAATTTAAATTGGTTTTTTCATGAATTCATCAAGACTTCATTTGTTATAACGTCGTAGTCGTAAATTTATCGCCACTTCATTTGTTGACACTTTGTAGTTAAAATGACTTTATAGCCGTAGGCCTCATATCCTTGACAAGATTCTGCTTGACATACAACTTTGCAGTTGTTTGAGTCGGCTTTGTAGTCGTAGGCTTTGTAGCCTTGCCGAGGTTTCGCTCAGGGCATACAACTTTGTAGTTGTTCGAATCGACTTTGTAGTCGTAGGCTTCGTAGCCTTGCCGAGATTTTGCTCGAGGCATACAACTTTGTAGTTGTTCGAATCGACTTTGTAGTCGTAG